GAGCCGACACTGGTGCGAGCTCTGGGGCTGGAGCCGACACTGGAGCGAGCCTAGGGACTAGAACCAACCGTCTTCTCCTCCTTAGATTCCCCTTTATGTTCGGGGTGAAAGGCGTGGTCGGCGGGCTTGAGTGAGCCGCGCTTGGCGGACTTGACATCGGAGCGTCCGGCGGATTTGACATCGGAGCGTCCGGCGGACTTGACATCAGAGCGGCCGGCGGGCTTGACTGAGGAACGGCCGGTGGACTTGACTTAGACACTGGAGCGAGCTCCGGGGTTGGAGCCGACACCGGAGCGAGCTCTGGGACTGGAGCCGACACCGGAGCAGGCTTGAGTGAGCCGCGGCCGGTGGGCTTGACAGAGGAACGGCCGGCGGGCTTGGGAATGCCGTGGCCAGCGGGTTTGAGAATGCCGCGGCCGGCAGGCTTGACTTTGGAGCGGCTGGCGGGCTTGACTGTGGAACGGCCGGCGGAGGTGTTCCGGATCGGGATCAGAGGCTCTCCAGACACCGGATGACCGCCTCCTTCCAGTCGAGGTTCGTGGTGTCTGGGAGCTCTGTTGACTGATGGTAAGTGACCCAGAGCCGGAACAGCGTCACGAGGGAGAAGGGGCGCCGCTTACATTTCTGTTTTCTGAGTCTGACAACAATTTCCTGTTATACTGCACTTCTGAATAATTTGTATGGCTTATATAGCCGTGGTGTCGTTATGATCGTTTTAAGAGGTGGGTTAATTCATGTAGGACACCACTGAAGGCCTAGGTGTGAAATGCACGGACCACTGGTTGTTAATGTAGCGTCTGGACCAATCAGACACACAATTTTTTTTGTTATATTTAACAAATACTCTGTAACACCCCTCAATCAACAAACCAATTATGAGGGTTTCCCCTTCCCCCGAAATGCATCTAACACCTCAGAAAGGCAGAACAGGCCTCTGGTTCAATGGCAACCAATGCTGATATCACCGTCCATGTTTTTCTTCTGCTAAGTCTTCTGCTAAAACCTTCTGATTGCGGCCTGTGTGGAGAGCCTGAGCCGGTGCGGGCATGCCCGGTGGGCTTCAACACATAGTCAGTCAGTCTGCGGTTCTGTTAGATTCTGAGAAGATGAGGATGTGAGCTAGTTCTCCACTTAGTAAACCTTAGCAGCTGATATAAATAATTGTAATTAATCATAACTAACTGTAATTATTTATATACATTTCCCTTTTGAGCTAATTTGCTACATAATTGGTGGAGAACGGTGGCGATCGTTTACACATTATTTGCAAGCGGACTCAGTATCAAACTTGTGTGTTTGTCTCATAAAATTTTATTAACGTCTTACACATGCATACCAGCTTCTGATAAACTCAGATAAACTATAGCTTGAATGTGCCTACCTACGAGCAGTAGAAAGTTTTCAATGCTATAATGCGTGTTTAAATCGTACGATAAGGAACTAACCTGATATTAGCGAAGACAACCTAATTTCTGTTTTTAGTAGAGTGTAAGCCTTGTCTGACGAAGAAATCTCAGATTAGCACCCCATATAAATGGTACCAGTACAAATTAATCTGTTATTGGGTGAGAGGTGGATGTGCTGTTTTGATTTGTGAATGAAGTTGTATGCGACACGTCATAACTGACTGTTATGCACCGCGTGAGTTTCCCATGCATGTTTACAGCAGCGCAAGTTCTGCTCCACTTGCGCGTGTTTGTAAGCTTGCATCGGTCTCTTAGCAACGTCTGACCCCGGAAGTGGAGAGCAGCCTCTTCCGGTTCAATCTGATAACAGAACACACGTCACAGACCTTTGTGTAAACAAAGAACTGCGTGTAGCCAATGCTAACTCTTTAGCAGCCATACAGGCATTTAAGCTAAGCCCTTTACCTCAACTGTTAGCTGTGAGCATCCGACTAACTGACACTGTGTGAGTGGAAAGTGGAAAGTTTGAACCACTCCTCCTCTCTCTCTCCCCCTCACTCTTGGTTTCACTTCCTGTTTGTGCTATTTTTTTTTTTCATTCATTTACCTTTGTATAGCTTGAATGTACCAATTCAGCTAAGTTGATTTTAATTAAATCTGAGACTTAATTAAATCAATTAGTTTATTTATTATTCCTTTTAGTTTCCTAAAGCTATTAGGACATTTTCATTTTACCTTTACCTTATTTTAGTTGTTTGACCATCACCATCTTCCCTCTCTATATAGGATTATAGCAGTTCTAGCAGCTGTTGTATCCTTAATGAGCCGTACAGGTTATTAGTAGCCCTAATTCCTGTCTCCGCTATACCCATACTTCTCAGCATGAGGCCTATTACATAAGGTACAGTGACCATTCATTATGCTATAGGCCCTGAGAAGACTAGAAACACTTCCTATTGTTTCTGATATACATTGAGGTGTCCGATGTGTCCCTGCTAACTTAGCTAACAGTCTCCCTAGGTTGATGTCACTTTGAACAAGTGACAACTGCTTAGTCATATCTTTCTAGCTTAAACTAAATAAGGCAAGCCCTTCCTTCTCCCTCTGTCTCTTTCTGATTTTATTTCAGTTTTGTTTTATCTGATACCTTCATATTAACCAAACCTGTGAACCATCAGTGCTTTGAGTAATTGTTTGACCACATGTATAGCCCGGTCATTAGCTGGCCCCTGCTTTCAGCCCCATCAACAAAGTTACTCAAACTCGCTCTTTGTGTTCACGAACACAAAAACATAGCACCCAACCTCACTACCTGCCCCTCACCAGCTATTCACACCTTACATGGCCTTCACAGCCGTTCCCCATACAGCTAGCTTAACACCTCTGTACGTACTTGCATTTGCCTTGTGCCTCTCTCTCTCTGGTGTTCCCACAAGTGTGCCAGTATGTCGCAGACATTCCACAGACATCCAGCCCTGCCAGCTCACCAGGACCACCTGGAAACCCAGCAGAGCACTGTGATGGACATCCTTCAGCCCAAAGCAGCCAACGACCTGCAATGGCAGAGAAAGGAACAGCGAGACTGCGACACAAGTGGACACCTGACACCTAGCCTGAACCACCAGGATCTGACCAGCATCATCTTCTGTTTTGCCCACCCCCTTAAGGGCCTCAGACAAGAGGTAAACTGAACCTGCAAGTCACAGAGTTCTACAGGGAACTGACACCTGCTCAACGAGAGAAAGCACAGAACAGATGCAAGGAACCTTACAGAATGGTGCAACAGAAGGAAATCACCAGTCTTCAGGAGGCGCTAACAGCTGCTGGACACCGAGCGCAGCTGGAAAAAGCCATCAGACAGGGCTTGGAAAGAGAAAGGTTTCACACAAAGTCACTGTTAAAAACAGCGTATGTGGATCTTAACGAGAGATACACTAGAGCTAAGGCCTTAGAAGGCCATCTGCATGCAGCCAGAGCTGAAGTCCAAACCCTGACTTGCAATTCTTCCACATTAAAGAGGAGCTTGACATGGTCCAGAAAGAACTGAAACAGTCCTACAGACTGTGCATGGACTCAAGTAAAAGACACCCTGCTGCTTGTCAGACAGCCAGCAGTGCAAACTCCCTCACCCATGTACACAGATACGAAGGAGGGGGGAGCCAAAGCATTCTGCTTGACCCTTCACAAG